AACGGCGCGCGCACCCAATTTCGCCATCGCCTGGACTGCGAGCTTCCGCAGAAGGACATTATCCTCGGCGATTAGAACAGTCCGGCCTCTCAAAGGGAGGCTCAAACCCTCCGTTTTGGACTTGAAGGGGACGCTCAAAACCGCTGCTCCATCCCCCCGTTCCACTTTCGGTTCCTCCTCCAGGGAGACGCCCCGTCCATCTTGTCCCACGCGCGCGCGCACGCCTCGACGTTCCGCCCATTCCGCGCCCTCTCCGACCTCTGCCACGGAATGCCCTGAGTGCTCGGCCCCCGGCTTGCCTCCTTGCCTGAAGCTCTCTCCCGGGCTGCCAAGCGGCTCGGGGGATCCCGGTTCCGCCGTTGGGCACGGTTCCGTTCCGGCCATCGTGTGCAGCAGACGCTGCAGCTTGGATTCGTAAAGCGGTTCGGTGGCAATCGCCGAGAAACCCGCCTTTCGCAGCGTGTCCCAGACGCAGACCGGTGTGGAAGGCTTCACCACCCATGCGACCGGTAGGTGCGCCCCGCCCTGAATTCCTGCCCATAAAGAAGATCGCAAACGTCTGGTGAGCCAATTTAAAGAGCATGCTGACCTTGAATGAAGGCGAACGGAAACCCGGAAGGCTTAGCGACTCAGAAGCCCGCTGCACAGCCGGTCGGTCGCCTAATTGATAGCATGTGATGGGCTCGTGGCGTGCAGTGCCCTCGAGGGTCGAGAAAACAGAAAATTCAGGTCAATACAGAGGCAAATTTCAGGTTGATACAGATATGACGTTTCGATCTAATGATGGCTTTTCTAATCTTATTCGTATTCTAAACCCGTTTTTTAAGGGGCTCTCGCAACGTTTGATTTCTTAAGACAATTTTGAAATTCACCCTGTTCAATGCAGAGCCCTCCCTTCACAGGGTTGAATCTTATGATAAGTTTATTTGATCTGTATAGTCACAGCAAAGAATACATCTTGTAAATTATCTGATTTCAAAATTCAGACGCCTTAAACCCCATGTTTGGCAAATAAAAGATAAAAGGCTAAACGATTCAATTCAAAAAAGCAAACTTAAAGAAGTAAGCCAAATAATCTGTAAGGCTTTTCCCAAAATAAATCTTCAAATTTTGACTGTTAGTACTATATTTTGAAAATTAGGCTGAGCTTCTGGATCTTTTCAATAGACCCAAGAGATAATGCCTATGCTTATTGGCAGACTAGGAAGAGTCTGAATTCTGCTCAAAATATGCATTGTACTTGTAGAAATAATCTAAGAAATGACAGAGAAAACAATTGTATACATGAACAAATACAATCACCCCCGTTAGATATCCAATGAGATCCAACGCTGATGAGAGGCTGCCGTGGAATCCGCATCTGTTGAATAACGTTTAAATAAAAAGAATTTGAGCCGGTAACTCAGTTGGTTAGAGTATACGCCTGATAAGCGTAAAGTCGGCTGTTCAAGTCCCTCGGCTCAAGTGATTGAGTCCAGTGAAAAGCCAATCAATTCAAATCAAATCAATCAAAGCAATCGCTAAAAGTTTGAGCTGCTCCGTGGTCAGCATCCAGATACTGATCAAGACAATCGTCAGCACGAGACAGAATGAGGATTTTCATTGAGCAAGCCACGAGTCCGTTCGCGTCTTTTTACGCCTGCAAATGTCTGCTGCTGCTTTTTACATTTTGGTTACTCCATTTCAAGTGATGAGAGGACAGACCCGGGAGGTGTGGACTGAAAGCACGAGATAAAACTTAGTCAATGGATGACTATAAGACGGTTCGAAAAGTGTGGCCCGTTCCCAAGGCGCCACTTTGACCACTTACTTCTCCCAATCTCAATGACATCGCTGTTTGAACCAGCTACTTACGTAAAATTTGCACGATTCGCTCAGCAATCTTCGCACTCCGCAAGGTGTGCTCGGATTCTATCACGAAAACAGAGCCAGCCGTCGTACCAGAGTTCCCAAGGGCATGATGAACCTGCGCCAGGTATCCATCCAACTCCTCCATGGTCAAGTCATTGGGGAGAACGGAGAGCGCCAGGATCGCACAGTCAACAACCTTGCAGCTCGCGGCAGCAGGCGGCGACCGCGGCCTGGGGGGTAGCTCCACTCCCGCCAAGCCGCCCCCTGGCGCAGAGAACCTATCCTTGCTGCGCACGCTTTGTCCGGCTTCGAGGTCCACTACCGCTTGCGGTCGTTTCGCTAACGGAGGAAACTGGCGGAATAACATTGACTGTGTGCGCCGGACTCTGATCGCCGGGGCTGGTGTCGGGCCCGGTTGGTGCGCGTCGCCGTACGCCCAGTGCTGCAATAGAGCGCGCCCGGTGCCTAGCCCCGGGTCCCGCGAATGCTCCGCAAGACTGCTCAGCGCTTCGATGACGTCAAGCCAGCACAGTGCCTCCACCACCGTCGCGCCGTGCCGCCGCATGGACGCCGCCGAGAGCGACCGGGTGAGGAAGCTCGGGATGCCGAGCACCACATTGTAGTGCACGGGGGGATCGCCTGGGGTCATACGCGGCGAAAGCAGGGGCGGCCGCGCGGCCGCGAAGGCGAGGTCGAAGCGGAAGAGCGTCCCGGGGCCGATTTTGTCGGCGATTGCGATCGAACCCCCTATCATTTCGACAAGATTTCTGACGATTCCCAAGCCAAGGCCGGTTCCCCCGTGCTCGCGCGTGGTGGACAATTCCGCCTGGGCGTAATCCTGGAATACGACAGCGCGCTTTTCCGGCGGAATGCCGCATCCGGAGTCCTCGAGTTCGAACCGCAGACGAACCAGTGGGCTCACTGATAGTGGGGAGGTTAAGGAATGGGAGGGGCTTCGGCCCGAGATGGACCAGCGAGGAGAGTCACGAGGGCTTTGGTTGTCGTTTTCCAAGTAGCAGCGGATGATGATGTAGCCCCCCTGCCAAGAACAGGTGACAGTTGCTTTTGAAACCGGCTTATTTGCAATTGACAGGAGGAAAGCAACGAGACGGGAGATGCAGGGTGTCAATGCTTTTAAGAAGTGCAGCACGTTTTTGCAGTGCTCTTGAGAATCTGCAGAGAAGACTTGCATCGAGCATCTGCTGATTTGCCGCCTCGAAGTACAGTTGAGCGCTTCAATTGGAGCCGCTGGTCAGGACTGGGGATTCCTGCTCTTAATTGCACTGAGCCGCTCCAGGTGTAATGAAGGTACATTATCAATCCCTAAAAGCGATACTTTTTCAGCCTTCGAAATATTCCGTTGGACTCGATCCTAAGAGGGTGCTTTAAGCCGCTATTATTCTGAAATAAACCCTATTGTGATTGCTTTCTACAGCAAAGTATTTCAGAGCTCATCCAGAACGAAAAATGTGTTTAACAACTTAAAGTAGTCCGTTTGAATCGAAGAGACAGCGGCCGCTTGAAGCAACGCTGCAACATTTCCAAGAGCAATTTGAAGAATCTCTATGGGCAAACTCAAGGTTGTCCTTCACAGAGTTTACGAGGGCGCGACATAATTACACCAGGCTGCGCAAATATGCTTCATACTTCTGCTGAATGACCCTGCAAATGGTAAGCCTCTGCAAATGTAGTACGAAGCTCAAGAAGGGTAGATTACCTTTGTGAACTTGATGCTGTTGCTGAGAAGGTTCATGAAGATCTGGCGACAGCGCGTAGGGTCGCCACGAACTAGCGGGATAAGCCCTGGAAGAGAACGAAAGCGAATTGCTTATTTCCATCCTAAAGAGACTACAAATCTCTCCTGTAAGAGCAACTTGATTGACCTCGCAAAAACACGCCTCTCCACCCCTGGTACGTTTCTGAGCATCCTTGATCCTCTCAAGCCCTCCTTCCAAATCTCCTAATGTTCCTTAACGATAGTAAACCTTCTATGGAAGTTGCTCACGATCTCTCTAAAGTAACCAACACCTCATAACTTCACATGAGGTCCAGAGCCTCCAATTTCTCAAATTGCAGCATGCCGAGAAAAGTATCCAACGAACATACTAGCAACCTGACGTGCAGCATACTGCGATGAAGATTGCCTTTACTCTTGAAGCGCAGGAAAAACATAGATACAGATCCTTCAACCGCGCTCTGGAAGTTACGGGTAACACCAGGTGAGAAGATGACAAATTTGAAACTTCCTCGGCTGATCCAAAGATGCCCAAAAGGCACATACCTGGCATGTCCAAACCGAGTTCGACACCTTTCATAGTGCACTGTACTGTAAAAACGTCCACCAAGGACTCCAGCAGATTGCTTAGGTCGAATTCCACGTGCTCCAGTTGCAGATGCCCAGCTTGGATCTGCACGTAGTTCAAAATAGAGAGCGATGAAGATCAGAAAACCGCACTTCCTAGTTGTGCAGCACGCGGTCCAGTGGCGCCGCAGACAGGGCGTCTGACCAAGCGTCGCTTCCGAGACCTGTCCAGGAAGAACCAGTCGCACTACGGATCTTTCGAAATCTTGAGAGAAAAACGATACAGGTGGCAACATGTCCGAGACATGCAAAAGACGCCTGTGCGATGCGGTTCACATGAGCAACTCTCCAATCGATCAACCGTATCGACATGGAGATCAGACGACTATATAACTGGACAGCCTACACTCAAACAGGTAAGTTCGAAGCACCCACACGCCCAAACCAAGACTGACTGTCTATTCGGTCAAATAATGTTCAGACCCTGGGAGATGAGCGAATCCGCACCTTGCTGAAATCCAGAATATCGTTGAGCAGGTTCAGGAGACCGACGGTACACTCCTTGACTTGAGCCACCCGGACTGACTGCTCCGCTTCCAAATCTGACTCCAAGATGATGTCCAGTATGCCCAACATCGCGGCCAAGGGAGTCCGTAGATCGTGACTGCAACAGAATAATCTGCCTTCATCCTCAGTTCTGATACGCTTAAGACAGTCTGTTTGCTTCGCACAATGCACACAGAAAGGCGAACTCTCCATAACGGACCAGGAAGCTCAGGTTTGCAGCATAATTCTGTGCTACATCAATACTTCGTGAGCAACGGCGTTTGAGAAGTAAGGCTGCCTAAGCAAGCTCAGCTGACGTGGCGGGCTCCCTGAGAGGGCTCAAAGAACTTGCCAACTAACATATGTTTTGCTTTGTTAAGCAGCGAGACCTTTTCTTGAGTAGAAGCACTTCTTGGTGCATCCTAAGAAAGGGCCCCGCAGGAAGCTGTTTATGCGAGTTTCGTACTAGGTTCAGGATGTTAACACTCTAGGACCAATGCAGCTCGTCCAACAAACTTCGCAGGACTTTTCCCAATTTCCCGTCTCCTGATGGCCTTTGAATTGAGCGAGAAGAGTAGAGAGTCTGCTCACCTGGTCATAGCGAAGAATTTTGTCTTGAACTCTTCCCTCGCCTCGGCCTGCCTCTTCGCCTCGAAACTCCGAAGCAGCTCCGCCTTCAACCGCATGGCCTTACTTATAGGGTCTGTCAGGTACATAATAGCAAGAAAACCCAGCCCACAGATGCCAACTGCCACTGAGCTGATGATGTAAGTGGCATCCCGCCGCTGCTCGTCAAGCTTCCCATAGACGGCCTTCCTTGGAAGAAACGTAACCAGCTTGAGCGAAAGCCCTGTGTTAGCTATATCTTTACACGCGATGCTGTAGCGCCCCCCCTGAAGGCGTGCTTGTATCGGGCCTTTGTCACAGTCTGGCAACTGCGTGGGGAGGAGTGCAAACACTTCCCTGATGAGGGGGCTACTCGACTGGCTCGCTTCGAGCAAGGTCGGTGTTCCTAACTGCTTGGCCTGGCGGTAGTCGTGCACCAAGGCTGCAACGAGAGTCGTCCCGTTTAGAACAAACATGTTGCCCCCTTTGAGATCAAGCCCCTCGACGAAGTCTCCGATGGCTGTCAGATACAGCGCACTGGAAACAACCCCAAGAACCGTGTTGGATCCAGGCAGCGTGTAACGCTTGGCAACGACCAGAAGAGGCTGCCGTGTTGCCCCGACAAGTATCTGGACCGCTAATCCATCAGGGCTATTCAATGCTCTTTGGTAGAAAGGCCGGCTGCGGATGTCGACAGGGACGTCAGGAGTGACGTTAGCAACGAAGCTTCCATCAGCTGGAGATACATACTGCACAGACACAGAGACAAGTATGACTACTGCAAGTGCTATTTTGTTCTAAAAGCTTAATCTTTTGTCAGCTTTCGCAAGTTAAGTGAAAGCAGAACATACTGACCACCTTGTGACGAGAATTATCTCGGAAGGGCCCCAGTCGATCAAAAACCAAAATTTTGACCAATTTTGTCTGAAACAGATGGACACTGTTGCTGGGTTGCCTAAGATTGATTCTGCGCATAGTCAGCTGGTGAGGGCCCTACTGAATGAAAAATCGACGACTTCGTGCTAAGTCACAAACGAAAAGAGACAAAAACACAAAGTGCTGGCTCGTTCTATGTGAGGTAGAATTGGACTATTGCCAAAAGTGGAGCTCAATGTAGAGCACCAACCCTTAGAAGTTCGAAGGCCTTCGAAGCTCCGAATATGGCAAGCAATCTGCAAGCTTTAAAAGTGGACAAGACAAGAGCACGACCCATTTGTACACACAGGTTCCCATTGTCAATTCCGGCTTCTCCATTTCGCAGGCAAAACGGAGGGGAAAACAGTATACCTGTCGTCCTGTGATTGGCTCACCGTTACATAGCGTGGGGGAGCCTGGCCCTTGGGCAGGGTCTGGTTTGCAAAGGTCCACAGCAGTCTTGTATTAGCATAGGGGCTCGTTGCATTGTCAACGGAATTGACAACCATGTAGGGCCCCTCCTCCGTGGTGAGTCCCAGGCCAGAGACTGTGTTGCAGCTCTGAAACGTCTTTCTCAGGGAGGATGCTGTAAGATCCTGTTTTTGATCTACTGTCAGGTTGAGGCCTGGGCTGTAAATCAGGTCAAGATACTGCGCAAAGCTTGTGCCGCATGGTTCTGCCGTGTCCAGCAGCTGAGAGACGCTACTGGAAATATGCAGAAGGATCTCTCCTTGGTAGGAGTGCACCAGGCTCGAAAAGTAGGTCGAGGAGGCGGCGCATGTGAAGTGGAATGTGATGGTCGTGGTACCGGCCAGCAGACTTGCCAGCAGAACCTGGGGAAAAGTCATCGAGATATTCAGCCTTGGTCTACTTTGCCTGATTGATCAGACTCCTTAGAAGTCAGCGGCTGGCCTCAAGTGGTGCTTAATCGATGACTCAGGGCCAAACCAAGAGATGCAGTAGCCTGAAGGCATTTTTGGAATGCTCCACTTCGGCTCGTGTGGTGTTCATGAAGATGAGGATTGCTCAGATTGCTGAGCACATGAAGAATTGTTGCAGAGCTTCCATTGGGAGCTTAAAAGTTTGAAGCTAGAGCACCACCTACACACACTAACCCTGTGGTGCAACTCCATCCAGACGTCCCACGCAACCACATTGGATATCATGCCATGAAGGTGGTGAGTTGTACAACTATTGACCTTCAGCTGCGCATAAGTTAACTTTATGCTATACAGCCCCCAGAACTCTAAAGGCTGCCTCCATTTGATCTGTAGCACGTTAACACACCAATCGCGCCTAATTAGCAATTCTGAGATTTTAAGAGAAGCATAGATTCTCCTTTTTTGTCTAGCAGCTGTGATTTCCACATCCAATTTCACAGGTTGGGAACTTCAGTCGGTACTCTTACAAAATTTCAAACGACCAGCTGCTGACCAGAATTCAGATGGTTCCTATACATCAATCTTTAGGAGAAAGCGCAACAGCCAAATTCCAATATTACAATCTCACCATGATACCCAAGCGAAGGAGCCTAGCGTCTGACCAACACTTCGCATGGCCAAACGGCAGTGCGTCCATTCTGCTGCGCCTGTTGGTTGACCTGTCATACGGCTGATCTCTGTCCATTGAATCTGAATTTAATTATCATGTAGAATGGACTAAAAAACACTGGTGTCAGTCTAATGCCGCGGAAAGGTGGTGAAAAAGTAAGAGGACTGATCTTTGCTTTGAAATCATGTCTGCCTAGGCCTACATCAGAAATAGCCTTGTTTCTGTCGCTAAGTGTATCTAGCTTGCTTCATTGGGGTGTTCTCCCAGCTAGAGGCGTTGATTGATGGCAGCAGCCAGCAGCCGGCAGCCAACAGGGCAACCACGTCCGAAAACCTGTTCTTTGATGAGTTCTCCTGGTGTAGCCAAAAAAGGAAATGCAGTTTAGCATAATGTAAGTCCTATGCTGACTCATGCTCTGTTCTCATTGGCGGCGGACGGCACAACAATTAATAAATCCTTTTTTGCCCGGAACTTGCCCGGAAGTGCCCAAAAAAGCGAAAAGCGTGAAGTTGTGCCGGCCGCAAGTGAAATCACACCACGGCACAAGTCCTGGTACAAAATCGGGAATTGCCACGCTGGCATGCAAAACCCTAAACCCCGAGCAGGCAAAAGACCAGCTAGGTACCCTACAGGCTATCCTACAGCTGCTGTGCTTGCCTCCTGTGCACAGTCATCACTACGTTGCAACTTGCAGCCCTGGCGCGCCAGAATCTAGCACCTCGGGCTGTGAGTGGCCAGTTCAACCACGTGGTTGCCCGGCACAGAAAAATAGGAGTTCGACCCGAGGGGGCACAAGGGTCGAACTTTTAATATTTTTGTGCCGCTGACGTAAGCATTTTTTTATCGAGTTCCGCCGGCACAACTGCTAGTGGAAGCGCGGTAGAAGTTTTCCACTTTCGCCGGAGCCAATCAGAAGATTTACATTAAAAATTGTTGTGCCGTCCGCCGCTAATGAGAATAGGGCCTGAGCGTTCTGCAGCAATCCTGGAAAAATGTGAAAGATGGCGGCCCGGTGCAGATTTCGGTCATCGGGTCCCGCTGTTCTGTGCTACAATCTCTTTGATCGATGAGAATCTGCATGCACATAAAGCGCAAAGTCAAAAACTCAGAACCTGGACTGCTGGATGGGCAATGTTACATGAAGTTGGCCGTCTTCATGGTCTTGTAATTGAACCTGTTTCCCTCCGCATTTCTCAGCATCTTGGAAACAGCATGGTTCATCAGAGCTCCTATGTGCACTTTTTCATTGCTCACACCTGTATAGTCCCGAGAGGATTTCGGACATGAAGCTCAGCAATCAGGCATGTACGCTTCCGGGTTTTCCGGGTTGTTGTGGCACTGGTTGCCTAAGAATCTCAGAATCTGTGCTAACTCAAATCACCACACATGGAGATTGCCTCACGTGACCGAGAATCGCTCTGCGAGCCGTTCCACTCAAATCACCACACATGGAGATTGCCTCACGTGACCAAGAATCGCTCTGCGAGCGTTTCCGATTGGCTGAAACTGAAACTGACTGGAAATGACTTTTCACGACAAAAAATAACGACAAAATATCTTGTTATCCCCCACGTGATTTGGATTCTACAGAAACGATGCTTTTGCGATACAAATTCGATTCTGTGGTCGCAAAGGTTGACAGCTGGCGCCAAGCTCAGCACAGCGTCACCCATTGTCAGATAATTGACATATCGTGCCTAGCGAGTCACTATCTTAGGACTAGAAAATCACACAGCTGATCACGGTTGCTAGTTCAGATGCATCTGGTGAAATTGCTGCTTGGTTGAAGCAATCTGGTTACCTGGAGCAATATCTGTGGTGTTGTTGTGGACTGATAAAATAATGTCAAAAGGCATCATGTCCCCGTCCAATACATGAGTTCCACCAGCCAGAGCTAAGATTTGTAGAACATTCTCTCGGACAATCAATTGACGTCCGGCCAGGTAGCGCGAAAGTCAAACTCAGCAAATCTCTCAATATTACATCCATCTCTGTCACTGTTTCCAAAAGCAGCTCGTCAGGCAACTCAATGGCGACGGAGATTGTCAACAGGCAAAAGAAGGCCGTCGGCATGCGAGTGCTGTGCGCGCTGGACAACTCGGAGGGGTCTGTGCTGGCGCTCCACTTTGTTCTCGACACGCTGTTTAAAGCTGAAGACGGAGACAAGCTCACTCTGTTTCAGGCGGCGGAAAACATTGACTGTGAGTGAGGTTTGTTCACCTACAAAGTTGTTGTTTGTAGATGAAACTGGAATCTTGTGCTTACGCAAATCAATGTTGAGTTGATTGAAGCTTGCTTCTGCTGCCAACATCTGTTTTGGTGTTGTTGGAAGCTTCCTCCTGCTCTTACCAGAGCTGCTTGAATGAATTGGGTGCCGTCCAGTCCAGAATTTGTACCATTGATAGTGGATTTGTCAAGGTTAAGTTGATTGGATAGTATGTTGCTTGTTCCTAATAAGTGGTTATTTTCCCAATACTACTCGAATGTAGTAATAGCGCTGCTCAGGCAAAAGTGGTGCACTACTATTGAGATTGCTATTCCCCCTTGTTCACTTGGTCGATGTCAATTTAGCTGAAAGAGCAAATTTGTCCTCGTCACAATGCTTCTTGAATAAAAACCAAATGTTGCTCAAGCCCAAGGATGTACCAGTCTACTATTGTGAAAAGGGCTGTGATTCCCAGCTTGTGACAACAAATTTGGGTTAGGATTTTTCTCAGAAGCTTCTCAGTTGTTTTGAATCATATTCAGGCTGTATTGACTATCGTTTTTAGTCGCAGACTCAACTCCGTTGGCTCCCAAAAAAGATGTGCAACCTCTTGTCTGCTTGTCTTCTCTTGCACACCCAACCTCTTTGCAAGTTTTTGGGATGTAGTCCCAAATCTTCCTTTACAAGAAGCCATGTATTAGTTCAACAGTACTGAAGGGATTGTGGAATTGAGAGCCTTTCCACTTTTTGCAGTGTACTACGACGCAGAGTTCGCGTTCATGCCAGACAATAAGCTTGTAGACGCCCAGGAGAAAGTGAACAAGATATGCATGACCCACCTGGAAAAGGTCAAGGCTGCAATCCAGGATGAGCCAACAAAGGTCTGTGGAAACAACTGGAGGAAGCAATCTTGTCAGAGCAGTACTTTGCATTGAAATGGGTCCTTGAAAGTCGAAGGGGTGTCATAAAGCCTTGTGCCTCATTTTCTTGCTCCAAAGAAAAGCTAGGCCAATCACATAATTTCAAATCATCCTAGATAATTTCTAATGGTTTAGATGGTCGACTCCAAAGGTGTACTGGAGGCGAACTATTTTGACCCAGCGGTATTTTGTCCATCCATACTTCAGTTGCCGGTTTTCTGTGAATCCTGCCCTGTTGTACTAATAGGGAGTCTCGAGAGTATCAGCCGAAACCATCTGACAAATGCCTCATACATGTTATACAGATACAGACAGAGTTGGTGGTCCTTTCCGGAGACCCCCGGCAGTTGATTCCACACTACGTTGCCAAGCACCCGGTGGATTTGGTAGTGGTTGGGACGCGCGGCCGGGGCAGGTTCAAGAGGTGAGTGCCGATCATTTCTCTCTCTTTTGTCCTCCTTTAGATGCACCAATTGTTTGCAAACATTGATGCCCTTAGAAACCAAGCTTCCGCAACAAGCAGTTAAACCATAAGCTCTTGCACCCGTCTCCTCGTAGCGAACTCCTCTTGAATCCTTCAGTCCCCTCGCTTCTTCAATCTTTCAAAGCGGGCAAGAATCATTTCGAAGCAGATTCTACTTTGCTAGCCTTGTCATTCATCACAGGGCTAGGAACAAGTCCACGAGTTGGCCGCCAATCATTCTTACGTCACTGTCCGCTCCTAAGTAAAGCGAATCCATTCCAGTCGTGCAGCTCTTGCCTCTGGAACGAGCTAGCCGTCTTGCAAGCAAACCACACCCTCCAGTGAATTGCGTCTTTTGAAGTGTTTGTGGCCTGAAACTCGTCTCAACAGCTCCGAGCACCCTCTTATCTACCAGGAGAAGAATTGCTATTTTGGGAATCCACTGATTACCAGAATGCGTGTAGCTGACATTCGAGGTGCTCACACGGTGTCTTAGTGTCTCCTCCTGCAGCCTGTTCCTGGGCAGCGTGAGCACCTATCTTGTGAGCCAGTGCCCTGTCCCAGTACTTGTCGTCCCCAACCCTCATCAGCTACCCGCCTGAGGACACAGTTAGTTTCTATACCAGAACAAGTTTGGAGATTTTTAAGCACATAAGAAAAAGCATTAAATCTTGGATGAGAGTATACCTTTAGGGACCTTGTGGAGGCCAGATCGCTTCGAAACTTCCACTTAGGCGAATTCGCAATGATATCAAAAAGAAAGTAGTAGAAAGTGGAGTAGTTGTTAGCTGTTCAAATGGCTTAAACGGGGCGGAGGGGGCGCTAAGTGTAAGGCAGAACGGCGCGGTAGCTATTAGTCGAATTTTGAGACACTGGATCGTGGCAGGCGTCGGAGGACAGATCTGTCGGACAAGTGTCTTTACAGCAGTAGTGTACATATCCATCCGCATCACAGCAGGTCGTGTAGCCGTTTGAATGATCGCAATTACTTTGAGCGGTCACCATGGTGCTGGTTAAGACGAGCAGAATGAGCATGTGCATGCTGTTCTAAGTGTATACTCTTCTACTACAGTCTGTGCAGAATAAAATGGCACACTCGCCAAAGTACTCAGCCGTATCTCGGATTCTCACCGAAGTGCTTGGGTGAACTCGTTTCTAGGCACAATTATGTGTTATGCGTATAACCACTACTCAACTTTATGGACGCTTGGATATACTCGGACTGTCATAGTTCATTCTAGACACATAGATGGTGTATTGATCTATGCCCTGACCGGTTTGAAGCCCGTACCCGTAAAATCAACTCAGGTGTCCATCCTCCGTTGAGTGGAGTCGTCTGCCTTCTGACAGCCAAAGATCTTGCAAGCAACATGAATGTGTCGGTTCGTCTTTCTCAGCAGTTTCTGAGAAATGAACGATGTTGTGCGCTGCAAATTCTGTCATGCAAGAGAAGAGGCAGAAAAGATATTCACCATTATATACTTCTATGATACGAACGTCTGAGGCCATCTCAGCTCTCGGATGGAAGTCTGTCCCGCAAAGAGGTCTCTACTTGCTGTTAGCTGGAGCTCTGAACTGGTGTTTGGAATTAAAAGTTTGGGCAATGGGTAAAAGGTTGGCTTCTTCTTGCATCTTATAGTGCTCCCGTCCGCAAGTCAAGCCTGTCCGATATTGCATGTAGGCCCACCACGTCGGTCCAAGATCCTTTGGACAGTAGCCAAGTGAAGTGGTCGGATGATACTCGGACGGTGTGTTCCAATTTAATGGTGTGTGCCATTTTAGTCTGGACGGGACTGTGTTGAGTTGGCGGGGAGAATCGAGCTTGAAAATCTGTTAGCCTTGCAATAATCATGGGGGTCGACCTACATCTACGTCTCCACCGCTTCTGGCACCTGCCCCTTTTGCCCTATCTTTCATTGGAGGCTAAAAGCAACGATGGTCGAGAGACCATCGTCATGGAGCGTTTCCTACAATGGACCCCACCAATGTCGACCCAACCATAATCTCTCTGGTAGGCCTTACTATGAAGAGCGACCCAGTGCCCGCATTTTGAGGTCTGCTTCGAGGCTCACCCTGACCACACGATCGAAACACTAGCCCGTTTTTCGAAAGGCAGACCGAGACAGTATTGGCTCTTTCTGAACGACTGCAGGACACATAGCTTTGCCGTCATCAAGCATGCCATGTATCCACCTTCGCATCAACCGTGCAAGGTCAGAGCGAGGGGGCTTTTGCGGTGTCATGGGCTCGGTTTTTGGAGATACATATGCAGAAGGCATACTTTCTGGACATCAAGGGCCTGAGTTCCCCCTCTCATCCACAGCTCTGTTCGCCAATGCATCTGCAACCGCGTTCTCCGCGCGCATTACGTGTTATATGGTGCACGCGTCAATCCCTTTTATGAGCTCTTTGGCTCTATCACATAAGGATTGCAGATGTGTGGCTTTCACTTTCCAAACACCACACACCTGCTTCACCACGAGCATCGAATCACCATATCCTTTCAGGACCAAAAAGGCACATCTTTCGAGCCCTAATATGAGCCCCTCGAACTCTGCAACGTTGTTAGTGATCGAGTTCCCTAGATACTTGTATACTTCGATCCTCGTGCCATCCGGTATACAAATCACGGCGCCTGCGCCCCCAAATCCTGGGTGTATTGTTGTGACTATGATGTATACATGCGTGTCCAGAGTCCTCATGCTGTTCCGTTATTCCTAACGACTACTCACGACATTTACACAAGCTTACCAGCCTACAGTCTTTCTGGATTTAAATGGAACACGCCACCATGCGCTACCGTATCTCAGCTTTTCCCTTTCTTGGTATATTTCGTGAGAAAACTCATGGACAGAGTTGGCGGCGTCATCAGTGTTATTTGGGTTACAGAGGATCAGGCGTTATTTATCTGGTCACAAAACATTATGCATCCTTTCTACGGGATTCTAACGATGAGCCTACTATCGGTGGCGTCTCCGATGCATCGGCGCTCCAGCGGGCCCCTGTATTTCTCCCTAATTTCCGCTTCTCGAATCCATATGCCCGTTTGCCAACTCAATACTCATCCATAAGTCACGCAAGTCTCTGTGTACCAAGCTAGAAATCCCAAGGAGGGCCCCGACGAGGTCGAGCGTAGCGGTCACTGCTTCGTGTTTGTTTACGCTATTCAACCACACAACTTTCAAAACGACGGACGTAAGCAAAGTGAGTCCACTCAAAAACAAGGCATGGAGCAAACAAACACGCTCTTATCAAACTAGGATTGCTCTGGTTCAACCAGAGGATGTTGAATACTGGCGGTCCCTCCCCCGACATAGCTATGGGAGGTGGTTGCCTCAACCTCATTAAGGGAATCTCCCTCTTCTCACAAAGATACGCACACCCCTGAGAAAGGCAATCTCCTCGCCTGAGTAGTAGCACTCGACGTGGCGATCCGCATGCACCGCAATATCAGATCGCAAGTCTCGTAGCAGAAGCGCCGCGCAAAGTAAGAGGTCCGGCGCAACGTGTGGAATGCGGAACTGCTCCTCCAAATGACGTCTGATTGTCACCAACCTCGGGGGAGTCTCATCCTGCGCTCTCCTCAAACCACCGGGATTCTGCGGATGCAGTCCTTCGAGCGACTTCTTCAACCCGTTTCTCCTTTCCCAGTCGTTCAGGCTCAGGTCGTGGAAGATCTGGACTATGTCCAGATGAGGATTGGCGAGCTCATGAGCAAGCGGGTATGGCGCCGAATATGGTGGTCTGACAGCACGGCCAGGCAACGGCGGGGCTCTGAATGCGGTCCTGAGGGGCTTTGAATTCGCCTGGGAGAGTTGTTTGCCTTCCTATAGTCCGGCGCCTATCACGCAAGCCGCATCCGCATACCACAATGCTTGCTCACGAGGCTGCGTTGGAGAGCTTTCGTTTTGTTGTTCTGCTCTTATTGAAATTCTACTCGGAAACTTGTGAATGAGGACCCTGTTAACCTGTGGTGGAGGCGAGCACCGCGTCCGTGCCCAACATGGAGACGTGATCAACGAGACCCCACCCAATGTTTTATCCGCGCCGTGGAGTCTGGCGCCATGGACGACACCGTGGAATGTGTTGTGCCAACAAGATCGTCGCCATTGGTCGAGTTGCTTTCTAAGAATACCTTCTGATCCGAGTTCCTCCGCTAACATGTGGGACTGGAATCAGTCCCCGGTTGGAATCTCGGCCCTTAGTGGTTCCCCACCCTAAATTATCGATAGCGAACCATCCGAACCCAGTCCGCTGAACCAGCACATGTATCTCGGCCCCTGCTGGTCCGCTGCTGCCCGACTCGAAAAGAGGTTGCGAACCAGAGGGAAACCTGTCCGCGGAACCAGTACATGTATCTCGGCCATTGCTGGTCAGCTGCCCCGACTCGAGAGCTGGATGCGAACCAGCTGGATACTCTTCCGCTGAATACGTAAAATCTCGGCCATTGTACCCCGACTCGGAACTGGTTTGCAGAGCGACACCGGGGTGGGATTGCATAATTCTACGATACAATGATGGCCAATAACGTGGCCCCCCGTCAGCAACTAGGAAGGCTCCTTCTTGCAAGGCATCAGGTTCTGTGTAACATTGTCAATCGGTCAACGGACACCGTCCGATGCAACTCCCTCGGATCTACGTTCAATTGTCGTGCGCAACAATATGTGCGCGCGCACTAGCGCACTAGCGCACTTTGGTGCCTTGATCATTCGTTGAGCTGCGTAAAGCGACATCCAAAACAAGTGCATATATATATTGGCGCACAACGTCGTGCTGCAATGGTGCACCTCGCCCCTTCAAACAACTATTGCGTGCAACATTTTTTCTCGTGGGACTTATCGAGCGGAGGCAACTTACTCTTCGCACATTACAATGTGCACCAACCAAAACATGATGAATACCGTGAGGTTAGCATGCGCACGGAGCCGATGATGAATTTCAGGATCTAAAGGGGGCGTCGGCGTCATCGTTTACAACTTGGGGATCAATAAGTGGTCACAATGCGTACAGACCTGCAAATGATCAGTGACATGGCCACAAGCACGTGCCACGTGTGATAATTCTAAACTTAGTGTATTGACGCAGATCAAGTTCGCCTTGGTACTGCAGTTTCTTCCACGGGCCGGATGCGTAGTGTGACG